TTCGCCGTCTCCTTAGCTTTAACAAAACCAAGCGGTGGTTGAACACGAAAGAACTCTGCCGAAGTGCATTTAACCTGAATTTTCCATAGTTTTTTTTTCATCAAGGCGTTTTCCTTGAATTGAATTCATAGAAAAGGTAAGCAAAGATTCTAAATTGCCAGTGTGATCTTCAAATCTCAACCAGCCCTACGTGTATGCATGCTGTGAAATGGGTATCGACTTGATGCGCTAGTAATCAATACCAATTTTTCATTGATATGCAGATGCACTGATGGGTGATCTGAAGTGTGTTGACAAAATCGGGAAATCCCCGACTAAATCGAATTTCGCTTTTATCTCTTTCAAACGAAGCTAACTTTTGGGAACAAACCTTGAATGTTTTTTGATTATTGCTTGGATTTTGTACATTAATCTCACTCCATACTGGTTTCTTTTCTTGGGTCACTTTGAAAATAACAAGTCTGGGAGTCGGTTTTGGACAACTGAAATGCAATTGATCAATGTTTGTGGTACAGACAAGATTGTATACTAATTGACCGGACTGTTCTTTCTTTTTCCTCTTTATTTGGTCAATATTTTAAGCTGAAGCCGTTCGTTAACAAATCAGTGTCCATTTTGATGTATGCCCTTAGTTTGATGGTATCAAATGCTAGTATACCGCGCGTGATGTGCGACTTGCAGTCTGACCTAATGGCACACGTGATGAGTCAAGTAGACTGGATGAGCTAACGATTTATAAGTTAGAACTTACGCATTCTTGTCGAACACAATGGGACCTTGATCGGTTTTCGGTGGTTCCTTGTCCTTTGCAGGTGGTGGTGTATGTACTGATAGTACTATTTTTGATTTCGGCTCTGCTTCTTTCAGCTGCTCTCCTGGTTTTCCCTTGTCTTCGCCTTCATTACCCTCACCCATCCAACCCAACTGAAACAATGAGTCTCACTGTCTACTCAGTAATTATGGGATAATAATAGAGACCCTACCCTTGCTAACTTCGAAAATGAAAGTCAAAATGAAAAGTCCTGCTTGTGAAGCAGCTTTTATAGCTGTTTCCTAAGTTGTTTATCATTTTAGCACTGGGTTATCACTTTATTTACCCTACATTTCTTAATTTTGGATTTTCTGTGTAGATACAAATCATAATATCCGTCATGTTGACCTATAGGGTACATCTCCGTGACATACGTTGCTGTTGCACATCGCGTCAGGAGCTAAATCAGGGATAGGGCTGTTTGTAAATCGAGCTTTCGGACTTGTCTTCGATCAATTCAGCTTATATATTGCCTAAGTACAATTATGGGTATAATGGGTTGAATACCAGCTATTATGACTGCAACTCAGCTCCCCGAACAGTTCCGGTTCATATCACTACCTTTCTGAAACGTTTTTTCATGGGCGATTTCAATATTTCAGTTAGTATCCGAGAATTCGATGCGTGTTAGTGGAGCTGCCTGGCAGTTGATTCCTGTTTGGCTGCATTGTATTTCGATTGTGGCTGGATTGGTTGGAATCGTGCCATCTGGTTTGTTCCGTTTCTTTAACTTTTACGATAATGTGTTGTTGGCGAAACGCCACAGTTCTTTCGAGACCTGTAGGCTGTAGCTGTGCAGTACAGGGCTGCCGCTTTTGTACTTCGCGGAAACCTAAATGCGTTGGCATCGGCGTCGATCGATATCCATACTAACAATAGGAGCTAACCATTCAAAGCCCTTTACCATTATTGAAAGCATTCTTGACTCTGACTTTGAAGCAACTTTGAATTTGAATATTTTCTAATCAATCCGCGTAGATCTTGAGTCTATCGGCTGATCGTCTCAA